AGTATGTAAATTAGGTACCGTAAGTCTAATACAGTACTGTAATTTTATACATTTCTTGTGAAAGAAACATTTCTTATTCAACGGCGATAAAAATTATTTATATTAATGATGTCTCCAAAGTTCAGCAAAGTTTTCGTAGAAAAATAACATCAGAAATCGCGGCTGCAGTTTGCTGAGCTGTTCCGCGACGAAAACAAGCTTGAGCAATGGCAATGTCAAATGGTGCACACTCAGTAAGTAATCCTACAATTTTTTGTTTATAGCGTAGTTTATATAGATTATTTCCAAAAAAAAAATATACGTATTTTGGAAATGTTGAGTTGGATTAGTCTAGAATCGATTAATTTTATGGAAGAAAACCTTTCAAACAGCCGTAGTCCATAAACTTGATACGTGTCAGGCTGTGATTGGAAGGACTCGTAAGAAATCGGATTCCTAAAGAATGGAACGTATCTACTGTCTTATAGGGGGATTGACTGTAGTTAATTGAGGCATCCTGCACCAACCATTCTTGAGATTAAGGAAAGACAGGCAGACAAACAAATGGACAACAGTGGAAATTTATAAGACTACAATTTTTTCAAGTTGCAACCCATAAAGGAGTATTTAATTTCCTTATAACTCATCTGAATTTGTGACCAAGTTCAAATATGCTATATAATGACAACAACATTATATATCTTAAAATAACCAAATTGTCATTCTTTTATAGGAGTTATATATAATGGATATCATTGATATTTGGACATAATCCAAACTATTTTGAATGTACTATTTTTAAAATAAAGTTATTGCTATCCATATTTTGAAACTCAATCATATACATATTAGTTATTTTCAATATCCTTTAAATATACATAAAAATATAGCAGCATTTTTTAAAATGAAAACATAAAACTTCAGTCCTTAAATAGTCCATAAATATAAAAAGCATATGCATTAAAGATTTTAACACTAGATTTAACTTCATTAATTTTGATATAAATTAAATATAAAATACATCAACTGATTATCATCAATAATACAATAAAAAAAAAATAATAATAATAATAGTAAACCTTCACTACAAACAAATACAGACAC